GTAAGCTCCGAAGCTCTGAAACCCTCAGCCCTTGAAAATGCTGAAGCCTAAATCTGGTAAGCCTTGAATCCCCAAAGCCCTGCACAAAGCAACCCATGAAACATGCATCCTACCTGGCCAGATTTTTGGCTTGAGCCCTAAACCCCAAACAGGGTTTAGGGTTTAGGGTTGAGGGTTTAGGATTTAGGGTTTAGGCTGTTGAACAGCAAGGGCACCCTGCTTGTTCTTTGGTTACTCGTGGATCTAGCTGTTTCTAAGGAGCTGAACAACATTTGCGGCGCTCCTTGGCCTAGCCCATGTGCGTTGTCGGGCGGTGTTTCGCATTTTGAGGTGCAAGGCTGGTTTTGTTCAAGGGCAAAAGGTCGGGCCCCACGCTATGTGCTACAGGTGACGTTATATCCAAAATAGACTGATAAGGATAAGGATATATACATATACATATATATATGTGTATACATACATACACATATATGTATGCACGTACGTACGTATGTATGTATTAAAAATAATGTATATATATACATATATATATCTCCATATATATATATATATGTAACATGTAAACACATACATATGCGTGCGGCACCACGGGCTCGTGGGCGAAGGGAACTCAGGACCTTAGCACCCCTAGCCTCCAAGTACCAGGAGATTTCAGGGGCTCGGGAGACCTGAAGGATACGTAGGCCTTTGGGGTTGAAAAGCCCACAGGACTCCAGAAACAGGCAGTTGAGGGTACATGGGATTCAGGGTTTAGGGCCCTGAGGACTCCAGAAACAGGGAGTTGAGGTTTTTTGGGATTCAGGGTTTAGGGTTTTGGGGTGGGGGGTGGGGAGTGGGGGGGAGGGGGGGAGTGGGGAGGACGGGGGGAAGGGAGATACCCCCAGCACCCTGAACCCTAAGCCCATTAACCCTAAACCCTAAACCCTACAACCTAAACCCTAAACCAGCCTCATGCCCTACCACATGGGATGATTCGAGCGCCCTTCGGCCGGTCCAAACCATACTTGCAGGTTCATGGTACTTATTAGCCAACTAAAGCTGTACTTACAACTGTACCTATAACCATACTAGGGCACTCGTTAACCAGTTAGAACTGTTTAGGGCTTAGCATGTGCAGAATGACGAGCTGAACCTGAAGAAAATTTAGGGTTCAAGCTGACTGACTCCTTTTTTGCGCAAACGACCACATTCCGAGAAATAGAGATGAGGCAAGAGCAACCCATGTTCGCCCACCTGTTCAATGTCTGTTGCCTGTCAAGACATATACCATCGAACACTCATTGTAGCCAAAAAACAATATCCATTGCTTTTCGGAAGGCTTCAGTTCTTTCTTCGGAGCGTCAAGCAAGCCCCTCCAAGGGCGCCAATCCTCGCGTGCACGCTGCTCTAAGTATACCCTAAACCCTAAACCCGAAACCTTTTCAGGGATTAGGGGGTTCGTTCCAGGTTCCCAACCTTGAGCTCTGCTTATTGCCGAGCAGCCCAGAAAGACGACTACCACATAGTAAAAGTATCTTCCTTGGATTCCTTAGATCATGGTGGTCCAAGGTAATATTCATCAATCAAGGGCTTTTGGGCTCTATGGGATCTTTCACACGAACACGAGTTGCCCACAGCATGATGCACAGGCAATTGCTGCGGGAGTGCGCGGCGGGGCATTGTATGCCATCGCCCAGAGGCGTCTTGGTTTCCAATCTCCCAGGCCCAACATCCCAGCACTTCTACACTGGAACGATTGCATCTGCATGAAAGGTGATGCAGGTCATAGGTCCAAGATGAGGCATCGTCAGTATCGCCGCAGGTCAGATTTAGCTATGTCATGGTAGCTTTAGATCTGCAGAACGATAGGGTACAGTAAACGAAACCCCCCCCCCAACATTCTGCGAAACGATAACCTCAGTGTTATGTTGCTATCTTCCATTTGCAGTAGGCTTGCCGAACTGTAGGGGACACGCCAGAAGCACTCTCCCCGAGACCCATGTCCGTTGATTTAACAAGCATTTTTGGATTTAGGGTTTAGGGTTACACATATGCATAAGCATATTATGTATTCATACATGAACATGTACATGGTTCTCGAGAGGTTCTGTGTCGCTGCATGTCTCCTTTTCCATGAATGAAGATGCCTTTCCGCAATGCCTAAGCCCTAAACCTATGGGTACAACACATGGGGTTTAGGGACCCTTAAAATAGACCCCCAAATACTAGGATGGCCTCGTAACAAGGAATTCAGTAAGGTACTCCGAATTGCAGAAACCACCATACCACAAAACACCAAGGCAGGACTACCGGAGCAAGCGGTTCATCATCAGCCCCTTGACGTCCTTATTTCAAGGGATGAAGACTCCTACCCCTTAAGGAAGGGCGAGGGCTGGAGACTTTCAAAAAGCGGGGGCTGGAGGGCTCGCCGCTGTGCCTTAAACCATCTTAAACCCTTAAATCCCCAAACCCTCAACCTAGGGCTGGAGGGCTGTGGGTTCCAAATTTAGAAATCGGCCTTCTACCAGACCCTGGATGAAGAAATGGAGCGTTGGTCAGGGTCTAATTTCTTGTTTGGAACGATCTCTTATCACATGCGTTCACCGTAGCACAAGCCCCAAGTCTTGCACTTTGCAGCCCAGTATGTTGTTTTCTTCATGTTTGGTTCACCGTATGATCTTGCAAAATATGTAGTTATCAATATTCTTCTCATCAGAAAATATTGTTATCGACAATATTCTTGCTGCCTAAGCCCTAAACCCTAAGGGCTGACCCTCTTTCCATGCCTGCTACGAGTTGTATTATTCCATGGGTCAGTGAGGCATCCCTAAACCCCCCCCCTCCCAAATCCGAAACCCTAAACCCTAAACCTTAAACCCTAAACCCTAAACCCTAAGCCCTAAACCCTAGACCCTAAACCCTAAACCCTAGCCCAGGTGACTATCAAGACTGCAATCCTCTGCAGAATACCATGGCGAAGGTCTACTGTGACCTCAGCTGCGTGGAGGCGAAGGGTTTAGGGTTGGGATGTCCCCCTAGTACTAGCAGTCCTTAATAGGGTTTATAGTACCTTCTGCTATAATCCTTGTTAAGGGCTGTTAGTATGAGGGCGAACATCCCAAGTTTGCCCAAGTTTGGGGTTTAATTCGCCCAGAAGGCATCAAGTATGCGACCAGTTATACGGACGCTCATAGGGTGTGGGCTATATGGTATATACTTGGCCCCTAAAGCTACTATATAGGAACCCCTTTAAGGACCAAGTATCTACTATATAGGTACGTGGACCCTTTGGGACTGTAACGTGTGTTTGGATCCGGCAACGTGTGCCGCACGGCCATGTGTCAGGACGCTGTGAAGCGAGGTGATGCGCAGATCCTCTCGTCCATTGGCACGCTGAACCGCAATGTCCTGTCCGAGATGAATCTTGTCATTATGCTCATAGTCACCCGTGTCCATAGAGTGTATGCCTATGTCGAAATTATATATATATATATATATAATATCTGTATATGCGTATGTGTACATACGTGCATATGTATATGTGCATGGATGCGTGAAATACAACTCCACCTTTGTATGCGTACTCACATGTGCACATGCAGACACCGACGCGCGTGTACGTCTGTGTGTGGAGCGAGTCTCAGGAACCTCGAACTTAACTTATCTCTCATGAACACTGAGAAGATGCGTACACATCACAAGTAAGATCCTTAACAAATATGTAACTTGAGCATTGACACTAGAAAGATCGCACACATATCAAGACTGCTGTGCTGGGCATAGAGGATTTTTGTAGTCATTTGCCGTCGGCGGCTCCCTTTTGGCATGGTCGCCATGCGTGTTTGGCATATCGATAGGGTGTTGGGGTTTGGGGTGTCGTGTTGTATTTTGAACCCTGAACCCTAAACCCTAGAGGGTCGAGGATACCTGAAGACAGCCAAAACCCTAAACCCTAAACCCTCATTAAACCCCTAAACCCTAAACCCTAAACCCCTAGACCCTAAACCCCTAAGCCTCAAGGAAAGCGTTCTTCGATCACTACGTCTCCGAGATCTTCACTCGCCTCACGCACATCGAGGACAAGTCCTCCCACGAGAGCGGTGAGCTTAAGAAGGTACACGACGGGGGGGGGAATCTTTTTAGGGTTTAGGAACCCTAAACCCTGAACGCTAAACCCTTGGGTTTAAGGTTTTGGGGGTTGAGGGGCACCGGATCCTGTGTTTCGTTTTGTACAAGTGGACACTCGCCTGAAAGAAAGGTTGGCAGGTAGCTACCATCCCATAAACCCCTAAACTTAACCTTAAACCCTAAGCCCTAAACACCAAGCTTACACACCTGGAACCCTGCACCCTAAACCCTAAACCCTAAACCCTAAACCCCGATCCGCGAAGCCGAGACCAGGTTTTGGACTCTTACGCCAAGGCCGAGATCGATGCGGTGAACTCCAATGGCCGCTTTGCGTTGCAAGGGTTTAGGGTTTAGGGTTTAGGGTTTAGGGTTTAGGGTTTAGGGTGTAGGGCTTACCTAAAGGCTCCTACGTAGTACCTTTTTTGGGGTTTTCGAACCCAAAAAGCCATGGTCAAGGGTTTGGGGGTGTAACGTAGGAGCCTGAAAAATTGGAATAGAGTGGTGGGGGGGGGGGGGGGGGTATTTTAGTATAATGATAAAGGGACCCTAAGGGAATATGATTAGTAATTATATCCGAGACCTTGTTTTGGGGGGTTAAGGGCTCAGGAAAGTTGAGGGTTTAGTTTTTCAGCCGTGGTGCATCCGCGCTTTTTTGCTACCTTATGCTTCGGATGTTTTCCTCATAGCTTTCTTGGAGCTTTGCTGCTTTGGCGTGCCTGGCCAAGAAAGCCTTGGAACCTGTTGCTGTTGAAGGATGTCCTGGCACGCCGGTGTTTGAGGTTGAGTTTTCTTGGCTTGGGCACCCTAAAGAACTAAACCCTGCCGCCGTAAACATGTAAACCACCCAAAACCCTCAACCCAACGTGCAGAGAGGCAAGCAAATCATCAATGCCATGAACACACAGCACACCGCGATGAACAAGAATCTGGGAACTGCCGCCAAGCAGACCTCTTGCCTGCAGAGCAAGGTTTCGGGGGTTCAGGGTAATCGCTCAGGGCGTAGGCTGAAGAGTCTACACCTAGAAGCCACTTAGAGTTTCTGTTTTTGGGTCCCATGTCCCTTCGAGTTTCTGTTTTTGGGTCTCATGTCTAAATTTGGCTAGCAGGACCTGAACACAACAATAAATGTGGAGCCCAAAGACAGGAACCCTAAACCCTAAACCCTAAACCCTAAACCCTAAACCCCAAACCCTAAACCCTAAACCCTAAACCCTAAACCCTGTTTTTTTGTTTGGGGGAGGGGTTAAGTCGGCTGCGGACTTGGCGACTTGAAGATAATCTTATATAGGGTTCCTAAGGGAGGGGGGTTCAAGGGGGGTATGTAACCAATAGCATCATCCTAAACCCTAAACCCTAAACCCTAAACCCTAAACCCTAAACCCTAAACCCTATAATATCACCCTAAACCCTAGAATAATATCGTCACACATGTTGCCCAAGAGAGTCTGTGTCAGAAGGACCAGAATTTTGAGAACTCACCACATATCCTGGGAGGTTCCCCCTTAGACTAACAGTCCTTGCCAGAGAGTACGACCATCTCTATGCATGACTGTTAATTAGTAGTATAAGGGGGAACATCCCAAAATCAACCCTAAACCCTAACCCCAAAACCCTAAACCCTAAACCCCACATCGCTCAGGGTTTAGGATTTAGGGTTTCGGGTTCAGGGCTTAGGGTTTAGGGTTTAGGGCTAGGATTTAGGGCTTAGGGCTTAGGGCTTGGGGCTTAGGGCTTAGGGCTTAGGGCTTAGGGTTTAGGGTTTAGGGTTTAGGGTTTAGGGTTTAGGGTTTAGGACACGAAGCCCTAGTAACCCAAGCATCCTCCTGAAACCCCCAGGATTTTCGATTTGACCCACGAGGAGCACAAGGCCGGGTCTAGGATTGTGGGGTAGCCCTGTAGACCCCAACCCTAAACCCTAAACCCTAAACCCTAAACCCTAAACCCTAAACCCTAAACCCTAAACCCTAAACCCTAAACCCTAAACCCTAAACCCTAAACCCTAAACTAATTTGGGATGTTCCCCCCAATGCGAACAGTCCTTAATACGGCCTTTAATAGGGGATACTATAAGGGGGAGCATCCCAACCCTAAGCTCTAAGCCCTAGGCTTGTGAGGGTGAAGGGGTCTTTAGAGTTTAAGGCCAAGAGGGCCTCGTAGGATCAGCAGATCCGAGAAAGCTCCATTAGAAGTGTATACCTTCCGCGACTATCCTCAGTAGGATTAACAGCCCCTGAAGGAGTGCACACCCCCTATTCTGATCCCTATGAAGGACTGTTAGCATAAGGGGGAACATTCCAGCCCAGCTCCTTTGAGGGTACACAAGGCGTTGAAGCTTTAGGCTTGGATGTGTGGTAGCAGCGACCCCTTCCCAACCTCAAAAAGAGAAATCCTAACAGTATCAATATTTGTATTCATGACAAGAATTTCAGTGCTTCGAATAAGAATCGGAATACTGGACCATGATTTAGGAGGACGCCATCGGTTTCATCATTTAACCTGGACTTGTTCTAAGTTATGGGCCTTCTTTCGTGCCTGCACGCTTACTATCACAGAGACCCAGCAAGGGGGCCATAAATTTATGAACGCTAAACCCTAAACCCTAAACGCCCATTTGACAGCTCAGTGGATCGGACAGGTGCTCGCAGAGAAGATTGATGGTGTGAACACGAACATTGAACGCACAGGAGGTGCCATCGACAGGCTGCAGCGCCTTGGCCAGCACGGTTTAGGGTTATACGGGGCGCAGGGTTTAGGGTTTAGGTTTTACCCCAAGGCTCCAAGGACTCAGCTTGAAGGTTTTGGGGCCCAAAGGCATTATGAATCATGGTTTCTGGGCGATTTTGAGCCTCAGGGTTAGGGTGAGGGTGCAGGCTATAGCCAGCATAGCACCCGAAATCCTCAGCGCAATCAGGCACGAAATGGGATGTCTTTTAACCGAATTCCTTCTGGTTCAGGGTGCCAGACAGCCTATGATTCAACCTCTATGAACAAATCCCTTTCTTTCAGCCCTGAACTAAACCCCAAACCCTGAGCCCGAAACCGAGATCTGAATCAGAAGTACTTCCATTCCCCCCCCCAGTTCGTCCGTTTATTGAGGTGATGGTTGGGGGGGGGGGGGGGGGGGGGGGCAAATTTGGCATCGCTGGGTGTGCTTCTATCCTTCCCTAAGCACTGAGCTGTAGACCCTAAACCTAAACCCTAAACCCTAAACCCTGAACCTTGAACCCTAAACCCTAAACCCCAAACCCAAAGACTTCACGGCAGGGAGTCCACCATGAAGGGCTTCGATGATGCCTTCAGCGAGTTTGCCGACTCCCTCGCGGAAAGCAGCCTTCTGGACAGAGGGTGTGGAGTTGGGGCTTGGGGTTTAGGGTTTAGGGTTCAGGGCTCAGGGTTTGGGGGTTCAGGGTTTAGGGTTTCGGGATTCAGGGTGTGAGGTTTAGGGTTTAGGGTTTCGAGATTCAGGGCTTGGGGGTTAGGGTTTGGGGATTCAGGCTTTGGGACAGGTCCAGGGCGTGCGACTCAGGGTTCGTGTTGGGGTTGAAGGCTTTAGGTGTCGGATTCGTGGTTTTGTTTTTGGGGGCTTAAGCCTCAAACCCTAGACCCCTAAACCTGAAACCAAAAGCCCTACCTACAGGCTCCTATGTAGTTCCTTTTTAAGGGGATTCTCGTATACTACCCAAAAAAGCTACCGCAAGGAGACTTCAAGAAAACCTTCAACCCCCGGCTGAACCTTCTATGGGCGTTTCTCGGGCTGACGTGTTTGGGATCCAATTGGGGTCAAGAAGTTCTGCAACCAGCCCGGGCAAGAACCCTAACCCAACCCCAAGCTACTTGTAGGGTCATGGGTAGGCTGTAATTAGGTGGGATACACGATAGTTACAAGGGCTCACATCCCCACTTCGGGTTCTGAAACCCCACGCTTCCACGTTAAACCCCAGGTACTCGTCAAGGTAGGGACTTCAGGCAGCGGCTTCTGCGCAGCCCCGCATCATCATATGGGGGGTTCCGAAAATAGGGGTACCTTCTTGCAATTCCTTATTCTAAGGAAATCCTACTATGTTGGGGGTGTTTATTGGGGTGCCTGTTTTCGTAAACGCCTATATCTCCTTCAAGTAGGGCTTCGAAGAGAACAGGTAGGCCTTGCTTGGTACATGTTCTTTATGGAATGCTTAAAGCCAAAATGGTCAGTTCTTCGGGCCTTGCATTTTTAGCCAATTCGGGAGCGCAGCACAACGGACTGAACCACCTCCTCCCCATGAATCTGCAGACTCCCTCCAAGGCATCCTCACACCCACCCGCCCACTACATCTTTGTAGTGCTTTAATGTAACTTTACATCTTTAGCCTTTTTGGGTTTGTTGGGTTTCTTAATATGGCAGCTAAAGCTGTAATTTTTAGCTACCCTTCTGAGTGCAGCCAAGACATGAGAGCTTTCAGGTAAACCCGAAAGCCATCCTGGCCAGGACGTGAACCTCCATCGATCTGCTCGTTCAGCCGTGGATCAGTTCTCCAAGTGGCACCAGGAAGCCCTGGGATAAGGTGGGTTCAGGGTTTAGGGTTTAGGGTTTAGGGTTTAGGGTTGTGGTCCACGGTCTAAGCTGTTTGAGGTTTAGGGCACTTCGTCTATTAGGGCCAGGGGCCAGGGTGCTTAAGTTTGATGCTTGTTTGGGTGGGGTTAAGGGTTTGCCTAGACCAACGTTGTACCTCTACGGGCGGTAAAGCATTTCATACAGCGTCAAGATAGTTTACCTTGAGGTATTCATATTGCTCTAGATTCTATTTTCAGGTTACGCATTTCAGAGAAGTTCGCCCTCAGCACCAACAAGCCTAGGCTTCAGGTTGAGCAATCAACACGCCAGCTGAACTTACCCAGATTTCTCAAAACAGCAATGGCGACTGGAATTCTGGACCAATTCTACCAAGCGGTCTATGAATCGGCAGAGCTCCTTGGTGAACAGCTCGACCCAGTTTACAAGTACCAAGGCGCCAACCCGATCGAGCTCAGGAAGGCTCTCTTGAGGAATCCAGAAGGCTTCGAAGACTGGTGCACTTTCTGTTTGTGCACCTGCCTTTTGGAAGCAAGGCTGTGGCTGACGGCAAGCTGTCCCAGAAGAAGGCAGGGAAATTCTCAACGGAAGTGGGCAAGCTGGTGGCAGAGGCTGCAAAGTCGTTCAAGGCCATCAAGCATGCCTTAGAATTTAGGGTCTATACTTGGCTTAGGAACCCAGGCTCTTCGGTTTAGGGTATAGGGTTCAGGGTTTAGGGTTTAGGGTTTGGCGGCACTTTTTTTGGGTTTAGGATTTTGGGAACCCACGCTCGTCAAGTGAGATTCAGAGCTGCAGTCCCCATCCAATTGAGATTCAAACCCCTACCCTCCCCCCCGACCCCCCTTATCCTGGCTGGTTCTTGGCAGGGAATGAAGGAATGAGGGCCCTGTGTAATCCCTTAAAGGGCTTACATATAGGGTCCTCATTCCCTACTAAGAACCGGGGGTATCGTCATCAATCTTTCCCCACCTACCATAAGCATTCTACAACTCCCACACTTGGCCAGAATATACTGTGGCGTACTACAACTTCATGAGCATTCATAATTTACATCAACATATTTCGCCATCATGTACTAAAATCTGAGAATGCACTACTGTACCTGGATTCTCCAATGTAGTCCCTTTTTGGGTTAGTTATAGGGGATTCTAGTATACTACCCCAAAAAGGTACTACATAGGAGCCTCTAGGTAAATAAGAAGTACGATGACATACTTGGGGGTTCATGGTACTTAGGTAACCAATTATACCTGTACTTATAACCCACTTATAAGCCCCTAAAGTGCCCCAATATGGTTATAAGTACAGATATAACCCTAAACCCTAAACCCTTAACCCTAAGCCCTAAACCCTAAACCAAGTACAGTTGTAATTGGTTGCTAAGTACCAGAACCCTAAACCCTAAACCCTTAACCCAAAGCCCTAAACCCTAAACCAAGTACAAGTTGGCGAGGAGTCCATGCATCGAGCTGGCCGTGAAAACCTGCAGCAGATCGAGCAGGTGCAGCATATTGTGGTGCTATGCCCCTAGGGTCCCTAACCCTAAACAAAGGTTTGGGGTTTAGGGTTTAGGGTTTAGGGTTGTGGGTTGTGGGTTGTGGGATACAAATATTTAAACCCTGTAAGCCCACGGTCGATGTTGAGCAAGAACAGCTGCACTTGGCTTCCGCGATGGTTCATCGTATGCAAGCATCTATGCCCACAGTATGTGGCAGACAAGTACCACGAAGTAGGGAAGGACCAAGGGTGGGAAAACAACATTTGGGAAGGTCCTGCCGGCGGCGCGAACATCGTGGCATATTTCCATAGACCTCATTGCTCCGAACGGTCAACTTGTGATCCGTCTTGACGACAACATTCGCCTGCTTGATGTCTTCGGCCTGGAAGAAACAGAAGAAGGCGATCGTCAAGTTGCAGGATCGCAGGGACTGGGCGCTGTTGCCGAAACCAGTCGCCAATTCGACGTGCCATCCCCAGCGGGACTGCTGGTCGGAATTTCTTTGCCAGCCACGATGCCGACAGTAAGCCCTGAAACCCTTCCAGCCTCTAAACACCAATATGCCCTAAACCCTAAACACCCCTTAGCCTAAACCCTAAACACCCCTAAGCCCTAAACACGCCGGCAAAAGCCCTATGCCCTAAAGCAAGTGTCTCTGTGGGGAATTCTGCTCATCTTTGTGAAATCAGCTGGGGAAGATCACAGCAACAAACCGTGATGTTCATGGGCTCAGGGTCTTACACCCTAAACCCTAAACCCGAAACTCTGCACCCTGAGTTGATGGTCATTTGCGGGCTTAGGGCTTTCGGACTCAGGGGGTGTATCAGGGAGTGTGCAGGAACTTTTTGACGCCCCCCAAACCCTCAACCCTAAGCCCTAAACCCGAAACTCTAAACCCTAAACCCGAAACCCTAAACCCGAAACTCTAAACCCTAAACACTAAACCCGAAGCCCTAAACCCTAAACCCGAAAGCCGATGAAACAAGAAAAAACTTCCAGGCCATGCGCGCCCTGCAGCTGCGCATGTCCGCGAAGCGGGCGCAGGCTCAGGGTCTTAGGGAACCTGGCCGGTTTAGGGTTTAGGGAATTTAGGGTTTAGGGTTTAGGGTTTAGGGTTTAGGGTCTTAGGGTCTTAGGGTCTTAGGGTCTTAGGGTCTTAGGGTCTTAGGGAACCTGGCCAAGAGCCTTTACATCATGGGTGCCCCTACTACCCCCCCTCAAAACTACCCCCCCCCCCCCCAGGCTCCCCCCTTAAGCAACTGAATTATCCCTAAATAGCCTTGCGGGGGGGGGGGGGGGCCTTCTACTGGGTTTCGGAGTACTATACTTTCATATTTCTTGTTGAGGTTTCCGATTAAAGTGCTGCTTGTCCCTGAATCCTAAACCCGAACACCCTACTTATCCCTACACAGTGTATACCTTGTTTTCCAGGGTCTACTACGGAGTCTCACGGAGAGTTTTTAATGCAAGGAACTCGCAATCCCGAACTTTCGGAACAAGTCGGAAAGGCCGTTAATTGAATTGACCGTTTTCAACTGCCTTTGTTTTCAAAGTACCTATAGTTCAGGGTTTAGGGTTTAAGGGTTTAGGGTTTAGGGTTTAGGGTTTAGGGTTTAGGGTTTAGGGTTTAGGGTTTAGGGTTTAGGGTTTCTATGTTAGGAGTCCTGACATGGTTACTGGACTGCCAAGTCGATGCAGGATGTTCCGGTTTAAGCTTCAGGGTCTAGCTACTTGGAGGTTCAGTGTACTTCTGAACTGTACCTAGAACCCACTTATAGGCCCCTTTAAGTGCCCTAATATGGTTATAGGTACAGTTATAAGTACCTGGAGTCTCCAATGTAGTCCCTTTTTGGGTTAGTTATAGGGGATTCTAGGATACTGCCCCAAAAATGTACTACATAGGAGCCTCTAGGTACAGTTCTCATTGTTTAATAAGTACGTACCATGAACCTCCAAGTAAGGGGTCTGAGAGCTTGCAGCGGCCGTAGGCCCCAGCAGGTCTCCGTTGGGGTCATGAAAACCCTTTAGTGTTAGTATTCTTGGTCCCCAAAGTTACAACCGCAAACCCTAAACCCTAAACCCGGGTAGTGCATGGACTCTTTGGGGGAGAAGTCCTGGAACCTCCCGCATCGCTTGCAGGGTCTTGATGCCAACCTGACTTTATCGCAGAAGCGCGAGGCAAGAGAAGGGGTCCGGAGTGTAGGGTTTAGGGTTTAGGGTTTGGGGTTTGGGGTTTGGGGTTTAGGGTTAAGGGTTAAGGGTTTGGGGTTTGGGGTTTGGGGTTTAGGGTTAAGGGTTTAGGGTTTCGGGTTTGGGGTTTCGGGTTTAGGGTTTAGGGTTAAGGGTTTAGGGTTTAGGGTTTAGGGTCTGGACTCAAACCCTAAACCCTAAATGCCAGCACACCAAGTTGTCTGCTTCCCAGACAGCCCACATAGAGTTATGTAGGACCCAGAGTAGGCCCTTGTTCCTTGGGGGCTTGGGTTCCCTTGTAAACCATTTACAGCCTTTAAACCAAAAAGGGCACTCTTTATATTCCTAGATTACTCCTGGGTCTAGTTCTCAAGCATGATTTGGAATGAGCCACAAAACACTGCATAGCTACCATGGCATGATTTGGAATGAGGCACAAAACACGCATAATTGCTATGGTATGATTTGGAACGAGGCACAAAACGATGTAACTGTGTAGGGCTTCGGGCTTCCAATCTCGCTAAGTTTCTAGAAGTGTGGCTTCATCAGGGTCGGGTTGGGGTTTCAGGTTTACCTGGAGTCTCTAAGGTAGTCCCTTTTTGGTTAGTTATAGGGGATTCGAGTATACTACCCCCAAAAGGTACTACATAGGAGCCTTTAGGCAAGTATTGAGGGGAGATCAAGCATGCCTTGCTTGGTTCGGGATGGGCGCTACCAGTTGAGGGCCGCATGTGTTCCAAATGCGTCTACCCTGGACAGCCTTACTGCTGCGAGTTTTGGATGTTGAAGCTTTCCCACGGCAATCAGGGTTTAGGGTTTAGGGTTTAGGTTTTAGGGTTTAGGGTTTAGGCTTAGGGTTTTGGGGCAGAACCGTACATTGTAAAGATCCACGACTGGTCCCTTGTTCGTTCGTCGCTGAACCTGAGCAAACATCAGCACACATGCAGAACCGCACATGCTTTCCTCATCAATCGGGCCGGAAAGAAGGCGCGGGCCCGCCTCATCAACCACAAGGGTTTACAGGGTTTGTAGAGTTTATGGTTTGCAGAGAATTATGCAGTGTAAGAGTTTATATGGTTTTTTGGGTTTTCCAGAGGTTTTGTAGGTTTTTGGGTTGCGGATGGACCAGACACCCTTAAACCCTAAGCCCTCAACCCTAAACCCTGAACCCTAAGCCCCATAGTCTTAACCCTAAACCCTTAAACCTTAATTTGACAAGGGGGATTCCAGTTAAACAAGAAAAGCCTAAAACCTCAACTACTCGCCTTACCAGGCCCTCCAGCCCCAACGCCGACTCTGAAACCACAGGCCTTCGCGTCCTTACAGAAGGACGCGAACTCGACCTTACATCAGCTACTGAGTCCTACCAGGGTGTTGATAGGGTTTGGACTTTGATGGGGTTTTGATATGGTGTTATATATAGTATAGGGTCTTTTAATTATAGCGCTTGTGTAGTCTTTTTAAAATAAAGTTTATAGGCTATGTTTAGGGCTTATAGATTTTTTGACAGGGCTTTCACAGTCTCTTGAGGGGTTTGTAGAGCTGGAAGGGTTCATCGGGTTTATGGGGTTTATAGGGCTTCGCGTACAACTGTGACGAGTTGGGGTGTCAGGCTTTGACTTTGAGATGCCTGAGGCGCAAGTTTCGACGGTTACCCTTGGGATGTTCCCCCTTATACTAACAGTCCTAAGAGTCCTTAAAAGGGATTATAGTACCCCCTATGCCCCTATAAATTTCCCATTAAGGAGTTGCTAGTGTAAGGGGGAACATCCCAAACTGTTACCCTAAATCTCAACCCTAAGGTTTGTTGCAAGCGTTTTTGCGAACACCAAAACCTTGATCCTACATCCTGAACCTTCTTTAGGGTGTATAGGGTTTAGGGTCTTCGGGTTTTTGGATTCTTTTTAGGGTTTTAGGGTTTTAGGGTTTAGGGTTTAGGGTTCAATCCCCAGTCCTCATACAAGCTCTCCCTGCACCCTAAACCCTAGCCCCTAAACCCTAAACTCTAAACCCGAAGCCTTAAACCCGAAACCCTAAACCCGAAACCCCAAACCCTAACCCCTAAACCCGAAACCCTAAACCCTAAACCCTACCTCCACCCCCCCCATCCCCCCTACTCGAGCCTAGGCTCTTCCGGATGCAAGGGGCGTCGGACGAGAGCTCGCCAGCTGTGGTGGATCAGGCAGAGACGGCAGAGATGCGTGGGGTGGGGGTGGTTAGGGTTTAGGGTTTAGGGTTTGGGGTTTGGGGTTTGGGGTTTGGGGTTTGGGGTTTGGGGTTTGGGTTTGGGGTTTTATGGTTCAGTGTCTCGGGAGATTTTGCTTTCGTGCTTTAAGAGACTCGTGTCCCGGAACGTGTTTTGGAGGTCGCCGTTATGTGGCAGATGATTAGGATCCCTTTGTGGGGTAGGTCTCGTAGTCAATCAGGGCCCACACATTTTTAAAATACCAGAAGGGGACCATCATGCTGGAAATCGAACCCCTGTAACGGGCACCATAAAAGCCCTATATCCTATAATAATCCCTCTTCATGAGTGGTCCTTGGACCCCTCTGCAGCCTAAACCCTAAACCCTAAACCCTAAACCCTAAACCCTAAACTCAGGGCCTAGGCCGCCCCCCTACGTTAACGGGCGGCGCTTAAGCCCTTTGACCTCGATGGCACAAGCCGACCCAGGTCGCTCGCCCGCAGCATGCGCCCACGATGGGCCCAGTACCGGAACACGTTCTCCTCGGACCAGTACTGGTCCCTTATAATAAAGTAACCCCAAGCCCTTGTGCCAGAAGGTGGCTGGCATTCTCGAGGGGGTACCCCCAAGAGGGCCCCACAGCAGGAGGACCCGGACCCCCGACCTTGTCTGGCCCCCCCCCCCCCATCCCCGCCATTTTTTTGGTGCCTGTGTGGTGTGTGTGGGTCCTGACCTCTGGCGTCAGGCCTGCCCCACTCACAGCCGGCTGGTCCTGACTGGGTGCCTGGCCGAGCCCGCCCCTCTGAAACTTGCTGCAACCCTCCCTGAAACTGCCTAAGTTTTTAGAAGTGGGCTGTTGTCTGAGTTTAGGCCTAACCCTAAAAGGAATAGGTTTGGGTGGCTTTGCCGCCTTGGACGGCGTGGGGTGGGAGAAAGTGTTAGATGGCCCTCCACAATCGGGCCAATGCTGCTTTTCGCACCTCACGAAGCTTTCGAGCTTGTTCCGAAACCTAACCTTCACAGCATCTACGCGCTATCACAGCAAACCCTAACCCTAAACCCTAAACCCTAAGCCCTACGATTTTGGACCAGGGTACCCAGCAACGAGGAGCAACTTTTGGAGGTTCATGCATTTAGGGTTTGGGGTTTAGGGTTTAGGGTTTAGGTCAGAAGTAAGGCAGCTACAATTATAACTGGCTCTCGAACCTTATTTACGGTACTGATGACCCTACAAAAGTATCTCCCCATGCACACCCTGAACCCGAAACCCTAAACCCTGAACCCTAAACCCTAAGCCTTCCACCAGGAGATCAAGAAGCTCCTCAGGGCTGCGCAGACATCTATCCGCAGTCATCACCTGTCTGCTGAGCGCATGGGCATCCTGGACCGATCAGAGGGGGGGGAAGGGGGGGGGGGGGGGGGACCGACCGACCGACCGAGGGGCGTAGGGTTTAGGGTTTAGGGTGTAGGGTTTAGGGTTTAGGGTTTATGGGGTGTAGGGTTTAGGGTCTAGGGTTTCGGGTGGTGCCTACTTGACCCTGAATGGTGGTTCCTCTTTTTTGGGGGCTGCCTAACTTCACGGTAAGGACCATCGAGAAAGCCACACTAATTAGGTGCTCCCTCCCCCTAAAAAGCAAAACCCTAAAACCAACATCTGCGGGTCCAGGTGGGGCTGGAGGTTCAGCCTCATGTTCGGGGTTTATATCAGATTATATCAGTGTTTCAGCGTAGCAAGCTATGCAGTTGCACCTTCCGGTTTTTCACTACCAGAATTCTGGGAGGATCTAGAAGGCAGCCATGCCCCAAAGGTTCCGGAACATCATCCAGTACTAGAGCCGGGCACTTTTCTAGGGGGGGGGGGGGGGGGGGGGGGGGGGGGGGGGGGGCTACCTGCAGTCTCCAATGTAGTCCCTTTTTGCGTTAGCTATAGGGGATTCTAGTATACTACCCCACTAAGGTACTACATAGGAGCCTTTAGGCTTCTCAGGGTCTGGGGCAGTTGTTATTTATCGACCGCTCTCGCCGGGGCCATGCTGCATCCTGTCCCATCTGCACTTGAAGGTTCATGTAGTTTGAAGTGGGCTTAGGAGTAGGGCAACTATAGTTGCAGCTAGTTATGCAACCTTCTTTGGGGGTACTTACATAACCCTACTTTTTGACTACCCAGCATACACCACAAGGATGCACTGCACCGAACACTCGCTATCTAAGTTCAGTCAGAGAAGAAACATACATGTACATATATATATATACACATACAGATATGTATATATGAGTAATTCTCTAAATTTGGGGTCCCATCTAGGGGTCCTTTTAAATAAGGTGCCGTGCTATTGGGGGGGCACCAAAAGGGGGCCCTACTCTTGAGAGCTGCCCGCATCAAAGCAAGTTGACAGCCTATAGCCTGAGCCTCAGAGTTTTCCTAAAAGCTCCTGTGTAGAACCTCTTTCTTTTTTTTTTTTTTTTTTTGGGGGGGGGGGGTGCGTACTAGAATCCCATGTAACTAGCCCGAAAAGGGACTACGTTCGAGCCTTCAGGTTCTCCCTAAACTCTAAACCTTGTGCTCGAAAACCCTAAATCCTTGAAACCCAGAAACCCTAAGACCCCAACACCCTAAACCCCCCCCCCTATAAACCCTTGCACAAGTGTGCCAAGCAAGGCCGGCGAATGGCGATAATGCAGCGGTCGAACTACAACAGGTCCATGTCCTCCACACAGCTCCTGTGCAGAAGGGGGCGTAGGGTTTAGGGTTTAGGGTTTAGGGTTTAGGGTTTAGGGTTTAGGGTTTAGGGTTTAGGGTTTAGGGTTTAGGGTTTAGGGCAATTGCAGGCCATCAGGGTTGGCGAGCGCACAAGAAGAACGCACAGCCTGAGCTGATAGAAGATAAAAGCCTCATGGGGCGCTGGTGGCATTTCTTTCAACAAGCTTAAGACATCAACCTCCAAACCTCAAGTACATACCTGAAGGCTCTAGCGTAGCTCCTTTTTGGGTTAGTTATAGGGGATTCGTTTATGCCACCCGAAAGAAGGTACTGCATAGGAGCCTGTAGGAAAGGCTAGGCCCAGCGCATTCCGCAGTGAGCGCACATGGCGTGGCAGGACGTGAGATACAACAGCTTCGAGGGGGCGATTGTCATGGGTTGTTTGGGTTTTAGAGTTTGCAAGGTTGCCAGGTTGCTAGGGTTTAGGGTTTAAGGTTCGTAGGAGGGTAGCTGTCTGCCGTGGGGGTATTGGGGGTAGGACGTTCACGAACGACACGCAGGGGGTGTTTTCCATTTATGGGGTTTGTGTCACTAACCGCGTACCGCATTGCTCGAGTCATGTCTGCCGCACTTCCTGCAACATGAGATGAACTGGGAGGCTTGCGTGACCTTGCATGAGCTTCCAGGATGTAGTCTTTGTTCAACCTTTGTACCCCGTAGAAATGTGCCTCAGTTATCCGCGTATGAACTCCCTTTGATGTGGTGCAAGGTTGCTCTATGCCTAGCGGCTCCTATGAAGCACCTTTTTTGGGGTAGTATCCTAGAATCCCCTATAAGGGACTACATTGGAGACTCCAGGTATAGGCACCTGCTTAATGGCTTCATTGCCCCCCCAGGCCACGCCTGCCCATGTTACCATGTCGCACGCGGAATCAGACGCCACCGCAAGCCCACAGCCAAGGCTGCCTGCACAGGCACTGTAAAGGACTCAGGATGTAGGATTTAGTAAGTCCTGCGTGCCTAGACCTAGAGTGACATTCATACTGAATGCTCCAGTTTGATGACATCTTGAAAAAGCTTCGGAAATGCGGATCTACCAGCCAAAATGTGTAGGGTACAGTGACCTTGCCTGAACCGTTGGGTAGTCCACTGATATACCTTTAGCAAACAACCCTAATCCCTGGACCTTAGGGTCTGGCCAAAACCCTCAGCTCGGTTCAGAGGAGCACAGCCCTAAACCCTAAACCCTAAACCCTGAACCCCCACAACAAAACGGAGCCTGCCTTCTGGGGACAGGTAGAGTTTAAGCAGTCGAAGCCCTGCTGGGTCTAAGTATCTACCCCAGCAGGAGTCCACTGACAGTATTGTTCTGGACTTAGGTACCAACAACTAAATGTGTGTGTATGTATATATATGGAGAGAGAGAGAGAGAGAGAGATGTCCTTGGGTAAGGAATTCCGTCACACTACAGCAGGACCCTCTGGGTACACTTCATTGGTGCATGTATCCCCAGCGCTGGTTGTTGTTCAATCCTGTTGCCTACATTGCCTCGGATAGCTTGCATCGCATGTCGTAGCCATGACGCCACCGGGCAAAGCCCTAAACCCTATCAACCCTCACAAGCCCCCTTCAAGTAGATTTTTTTACGAAAACACCTAAGAGCATAATTCTGCATGAAGAGAAGTAGCTAAAATGCAAATTGACACATAACAAACTGCATGGGTCGTCTTTAGGCTTGCGACTGACCTCCACATCGAAGCACAGCTGGTGGAGTTTGACAAGATCATGCTCCTCGATGTCAGGCGTACAGGGTGTCTTTCGGAGTTGGCCAACGGAAGGGGTGCCGGCTTCTACACTAAAGATGATGTGATTTTGTAGCGATATATTGGGAGGACCTCTATCTTTGGATTGAGGGTGTGTTGAAGGGTATTTGGTGGGGCCGTGGAGGTTTGAGCCGCGAAGCCTAAGGAAACCATGTAAACAAGTAGACTTATTTGGTGCTTACAAGGGCGGAGTGGGTCCCTGTAGCAACGCTCCCCACAGATAGCTACATAGTGATACGTGCATTGACTCCGTCCTTTCGCGAAAACACCTGCACGTGACCTCTGAGTTCCGTGCTACGGGTTTAGGGTTTAGGGTTTGGGTTTAGGGTTTACGGTTTAGGGCTTAAGATTCATTGAAATTTCACAGAGGGAAGTGTACCTCAAATATTGGTAAGTTTAGGGTTTGGGGTTTAGGGTTTAGGGTCAAATCCACAGCCCCACAAGCTTCTATAGCCCCTTTACAGCATTTAGGGATTATGGTCTCGTGGAGCCGCGGAGTTACTGTTGGAAGCAGGCCCAAACAAATTCTCCCTCAGAACCCCCGCAGGTTTTCGGGCTTAGGTTTTCGATTCTGAAGCCAATCAAACCCTGTTCTGAGTCCCAGAAGGTTTGAGCTTTAGGGTTTAGGGTGTAGGGTTTAAAATTTAGGGCTACACAAGAACCCTAAATCCTACGCACCCTTCACCCCGAGGTGCACAGCCCTAAACCCTCAAGGCCTCAAACTCCTGATGCCCTAGATCCGAAACCTTTCAGATCCCTGAAGACCCTCGAAACCCAGAAGCGCCAAATCGTGTAGGGTTAAGGGTTTGGGGTTTAGGGCTTAGGCTTTCGGGTTTGGGGGTTGGGGCTTAGGGTCTAGGGCTTGTAGGGTATAGAACTGAGGACTTCGGGTGAGTGTTTCGAGTTTGGACGGCTAAAGGTTGGAGGGTTTAGGTGCATCCGAAACCCAAAACCCTACATCCCAAACCCTAGACCCTAAACCCTAAACCCTAAACCCAAAACTCATGGGAGAAGCCCAAGGCTGCAAATCCGCCGGGCCGCAGAAGAGCGCCTGCGAAGCAGAGCAACTGCCAGCGTTTTCCCAAAGGATCCATGTTCCTACCTATATAGTATTTTTTGTATATAGTATATTTGTATATATAGAGTATATATATATATAGTATATATATATAGCATACATATATAGAGTGTGTATATATATATAGTATATATATATATATATATTCATATACCTGGAGTCTCCAATGTAGTCCCTTTTTGGGTTAGTTATAAGGGATTCTAGTAAACTACCCCAAAAAGGTACTACATAGGAGCCTCCCTAAAGCTACTATATAGGAGCCCCTTTAAGGTCCAAGTATGTACTATGTTGGTTCTTGGACCCTTAGGATTTTGGGTCCCAGTGAAGCCGGTTAGTAACTCAAGAGTTTAAGACTCAGCCCCCAGATCTGCCATTAGCCGGAGCTAGAGATGGATGGAGGTGATAAGCAGTAACCATATCCATAGAAATGATATTGTACGGGCTTTTAGTGGGCGCCCAAAATCCCTGTGTAATGAACTCTACTCTATTGGGCTTGCGCGCGTCCCTTGTAAAGCCTACTAAAAAATGTAGTTCATTTTGTAGGGTCCTTGAGGCAGCAACAACAATATGATTAAGGGCTCCAAGTTCCAGGATGAGACTGTTGTTCTTGGAGGCAATAATGCTACAGGGGAGATAGAGGGTTGGGTGTACGTGAATTCACTACATTCATTCACTCATTGTTCCCCTTATAGTACTGTCGGTATATCTGTTTATGTATATCATCGTATATATATATATATACATGTATATGTGTGTATATATATATACATACAAGTCGTTTAGAGGGGCTTTTAACGCAGTATGAAGGGCCCTTAATTGATGTCTGATTACGGGGCCCATAATGCTAATACGTTTGTAGCCCCTTTTAATATTCTCGGGGCCAATATTTCTTGTCTTTTGCATGCACGTATTACCATTTACTATGTTATCTTCGTTCGCCATATTTCCATGAAGAGTTCTCTTCTTGGCAGTTTTCTCACATCTTCTTTCCTGTCTCTTGGTTATGTTCCATCTTCTAGTATGCTCTTTCTTGTGATTCTTTCCCTAAGGGTCCATGTACCTTTTTGAGTATATACTTGGCCCCTAAAGCTACTATATAGGAACCCCTTTGAGGACCAAGTATCTACTATATAGGTACATGGACCCTTTGGGTTTCGGTTTATTCCTCATCTTTGCGTTTGCACGGTTAATTTCTAGCGCTGTACCAGGTCGCCGGCGTGCCACTGCAAACCTAGGATCTCACACCGGGCCCTTAAAACCACAGGTTTAGGGTTTATGCCTTAGGGTTTAGGGTTTAGGGTTTAGGGTTCAAGGTTCCCTGAGCCCCAAACCCTAAACCCTAAACCCTAAACCCTAAACCCTAAACCCTAAACTCTTAGGTTTCAAGCCTGGGCCGTAGCGAGAGCGGAGTGCTTCGAGGTACTTGGAAGCGGCACACTCCCAAGTCAGCCTGGTGGGCCGCTCCTTGCCTTGCAAACCCGGGTTTAGGGTTTAGGGTTTAGGGTTTAGGGTTTAGGGTTTAGGGTTTAGGGTTCAGGGTTCAGGGTTCAGGGTTCAGGGTTCAGGGTTCAGGGTTTAGGGTTTAGGGTTAGGGTTTAGGGTTTAGGGTTTAGGGTTTAGGGTTAGGGTTCAGGGTTAGGGTTCAGGGTTAGGGTTTAGGGTTTAGGGTTTAGGGTTTAGGGTTTAGGGTTTAGGGTTTAGGGTTTTAGGGTTTAGGGTTAAGGGTTAGGGTTTGGGTTTTAGGGTTAGGGTTTAGGGTGTAGGGTTTAGGGTTCAGGGTTTAGGGTTCAGGGTTCAGGGTTTCGGGTTTAGGGTTTTAGGGTTTTAGGGTTTTCAGGGTTTAGGGTTAGGGTTTAGGGGTTTAGGGTTAGGGTTTAGGGTTTAGGTTTTTAGGGTTTTCAGGTTCAGGGTTCAGGGTTCAGGGTTCAGGGTTCAGGGTTTAGGTTTAGGGTTTAGGGGTTTAGGGTTAGGGTTAGGGTTGGGTTTAGGGTTTAGGGTTTAGGGTTTAGGGTTTCGGGTTAGGGTTTAGGGTTTAGGGTTTAGGGTTTAGGGTTAGGGTTTAGGGTTCAGGGTTTAGGGTTAGGGTTTAGGGTTTAGGGTTTAGGGTTTAGGGTTTTTAGGGTTTAGGGTTTAGGGTTTAGGGTTTAGGGTTTAGGGTTTAGGGCGTCTCGCCGCGCCGCGGCAGTAGATGTCATGCGGAGATGGCGCCCCAACACACCCAGGGGGTGTGAGGGGGCGGCATATGTCGCGGCGGCGTATATTGAAGTTGGAGCCACCACAACCAGAAAGGTTGGGTTGTTTTATTTTTCCCACCCCCTGCTTACGCAGGCATCCACCCAACTTTTCTCCTTTTAGGGTTTCGGGCTAACGCCCTAAATTCCCACTTCCCACCCCCATCCTTTGAACGGTTGGGTAGGACACTTCCACCCTCATCCTTTGAACGGGTCAGGGTTGTCAAAACCAGACCCAGAAAACAGACAGGGGCAGAAGGCCCTTCCCTCCGGGACCGCTCCGGGGCCAGGCCAGGACGGCCGGAGGGCCAAGGGGGAGGGGACGCCGCAGGGGGCAGGGGGAAATGGATCTCCCAGACCCAGAGCAATGCGGCAGCCCGAGGCGCAGTAGACGTGAGCGGCGCACTTTCCCTCCCCGTTCATAGAGCTTCTTGTGGAGGTCGGTTTGTTGTTGCCTCTCCATTCAGGGTCCTGGGTCAGATATTGATCGATCTTCGCGGTGTCTTCGGCCCAGTAGACCCCCTTGCCGAATATGTCTGGGCTGTCCCTTCAAACCCTTTGTCAAGTCTACTGTTCCATCCAGGGTCCTGGATCAGATATTGATCGATCTTTGTGGCTTCTTCGGCCAAGTAGATCCCCTTGTCGAGTAGGTCTGGGCTGTCCCTTCACACCCTTCCGAAAAATGATTTCTGAATATGACGACGCCTTTAAACCCAATGAAGGAAAAAGGAAAATCTCCTGAAAAGGCCGACCCAGAGGCCCGGTTTGGACAGATGTGGAGGCGGCAGCTGAAGCTGGGGGGCATGTTCCGTCTTCGATTTTGGAAACCAAGTTCAGGACGTCAGATTTGATTATGATGACAGTCGTTGTAGTCGTCCATGGACATCGCCGTTGCAATGACCCTGAAAAGCCTCCTAGCGGCGCATCACTAGGCTTCTCGCAGTGGACCTATATAAACATCGACTTACGAATCGAGTCGAAATCCTGAGGCTTTTTCTAGAATTTCGGTTTGAGTGCTTTACATGCGCTTCCAGCTAACTTTAGTACAGCAAGAAGCCCTTGCTTCTCAATGTCGTGAATGAAACGGTTCAGTTGTATGCAGAGAAAAACACGCAAGCAAGTGCATAGTGCGTGCAACGTCACAAAAGGAATGGATAGCAGGACGCACGCAGGTTTCTCTTTTCCAACACAGCTCGGGCCAGATCCGTCGTGCGACTAGTCCATGTAGCGACGCATGGCGACCCCACGGAGCAGGACCGGCAGCGGCACGTGCAGGAATCTGGCGGCGGAGAAGAGAGTGCGGTGGTCGGAGTCGAAGACGACGGCAAGCCAGATCGGAGGCCAATGCCAAAGCACCAAACGCGAGCACCAGGCACTCAGAGTGTCGATGCCGTTGGGCCAGTAGCGCACCTCGTGCCACGCGTAGAGCCAGGCCACAGCCTCCAGCGCTCTGGGTGCCGTCATGTCCTGCAGGGCAAGGCGGCGCGGATGGCCGTCGGCGCGGGCATCGAGGGCAGGCAAGCCACGCAGGCCTCGATGAATGTCAGTCATATCCTCACCGTCCTCGACGTCCGCCCATCGGCGACGTACAGCAGGCAAGGCCATGTTTATGATGGGCGCACAAAAAAAGAAGCAACTATCATTGACGATAACAGACGAATCTAAACGTCTGCGCGCACGCACAAGAGGTTTCATGTGCTTTGTCGAACACGAAGCTGAAGATCGGGCAAGCTTGTCTTTAAAAGCCCAAAGGAAGTAAGTCAGTGCAGAAAGTTCTTTTCGCACGCGCAGCGGACAAAATCCCAGGAGATGTGGCATTCATCCTCAGGCCGGGGTGAAATGGTGCCGCGTCAGGTGTCCCACGAAGCGCCACTGCTTGTCGTAGCGCACGCGTGAGAGAGCCACGTAGCCCGCGGCGGGGATGTTCGCTACGTCCAGGTACAGGGTCATGCTGTCCAAGGTGACCCCCTGCAGCTTGGTCAAGGTATTCGCGTATCCCAGGCGCATGGGGTGGAAGGTCGCCCTGGAATCCCCATCGGTCCAGGGATACACAACCACGGTGAACCCCGTGTCCGTCCGCACCCGAACGCCGCCCTGCTGCAGCCCGAGGATCGTGGCCCCCATGCCGTTGACGTAGTCCATCTCCTTGTGAAGGTTCTTCGTGAGCTGCACGCGGGCGCCCAGGAAGATCGGGATGGGAGCGGGCTCCCAGGCGTGCTGCTCGGAGCCACGGAAATTGGCGGGGTTTGCGTCGGGGTCGCCGGGCAAGACGGCCAGTGGGGACTGGTCAGGAAAAAAGGTGGACACGGCCAGGGCGTTCACGGCCGCGGCTGCGGCCTTCGTGATGGTGACGAAGACCGTGTCGGGCGTCTCGGCGAAGACGGCCTGGATGTCGTCGTCGGAGGGGGGGGAGGACGGCGGGCGGTATTTCTGACGGTTCTGGCGGGTCGGTGCTCGGTGCCCACGCAGGATGTCCGAGAGCTGTTTCTGTGAGGGTTTGGCGACGCGGAGGAGCTCCAGCTTCCAGCGCAGGGCCGAACAGCGGCAGCGCCGCATGGTGCGCAACTCAAACTTGAAGACCGTGCTCCAGAAGGGGCTGTCCCTGGCCTGCGTCGGTTCGACCCCTTTGAGCTGGGCGAAGTCCCCGATGAACACCACCGGCTGACTGCTCGCCGCTTCCCAGATGCGGAGAAGGCGTTCGAACGTTGCGGCCGAGATCTGGCTCACCTCGTCCAGCACCACCAGGTCGTAGGTCGCCATGCTCAGCAGCGTCTCGTGCTCTGGCCTGAAGAGCTGGAAGACGGCGTGCACACTGTCCACGTCCAGGTCGGGGTACTTCTGGCGGTAAGCGGCGACCAGCATGCGTGTGGGGCAGGCGAGGACGACGCGGGCCCCGGAGGCCTGGGCTTTCTGAACGGCGACCATGACCGTGGTGGACTTGCCACTTCCTGCCGGTCCCAACACTGCGAAGGGAACGTCCGAGTTCCAGGCCACAGTGAAGGATGGCTCCTCCGGCTCCGCCTCGCCCTCATCCCAGTCTCCGGTGGATGCCTTCGCCCAGTACAGCGCGAGGGCCACACGCTGCCCGATGGCTTCCACGGCTCTCTGCTGCTCCGGCTCCAGCGTGATCTGCTCCGATCCCAGCACATGGGAGACCTCAGGGACGGGATCCACGCCGTGCACCAGCTGGCCGGACCAGTACAGATCCACCAGGGCGATGTGTGCCCGGAGCATGGCGAGGTTGGAGTCGATGAAGGGGTCGCGCTGCGCCTCGAGCTCCATGTCCGCGCGGACGGCCTGCTGGTTTCGCCAGTGCTCGCCGGCCAGCGCCAGCGCCATTCCCAGACCTCGGTGCCCGGAAGGCAAACGTGAGAGCCTCGAAAATTGCCTGCGCACCCACACACACACATGGACACGTGGTCACACACCCACACACATGAGAAAAGCTGCAGCGAACTGTGCTTTCTGTCGGACTCTGAGTGGGCGGCCATGAAATTGAGGGGGCAAGAGTTCCAGCTTCGCGTGCCAAAGGTCCTTCAGCTCGCGAAAGGGCACGTGCAGGAGGCACCATTGCTTGTAGTACTCGTCATTGAAGCGGGACTTCATCACCGCAGCCACGAGGACGGCGCCGCTGTAATGAGCATCGGCGAGCCAATGGATCCAGTCCTCCGGCCCGAGGCCCTCCGAGACAGCCAGCGCGGCGAAACTCTTCTTGTAATCACGATGTATACCGCCCCGCTTGTTCGTCTTGCGGAGGTAGGCCAGCAGGCACATGGAGTCGGGGCGCCAGGAGGAGCCCATGTACTGCTGGACGCGCTCGGGGAGGATGTCTCGCCAGGGCACCGGAACGACGAAACGGGACAGGCCTCCACCGGCAAAGCATTGTCGGAAGAGGTGGGCACCGAGCTGCAGCCACATCTCCGGTTCCAGTGGCTGGTATTGGGTGAGGACCCGCCGGGCCAAGGCGTAGTCGGACGAAAGGTCGTCCAACCAGTTGGACTGAAACGAGTCGGAGAACTTGGGCACGTAGCCGGCGACGTAGCGGAGCAGCATGCCGCGGCCGTCGGAAGCTTGCACATCCATGTGGCACTTCAGACTGGCAAGGACATCGGGCATGTACGCTCGCATGCCTTCCTCCCACGCGGACTCGGGGTGGTGCAGCTCCAGGCGCTGCGCAGTCTCGTCCCAGGCAGTGGAAGCGTCCCTTCGAGGCCAGCCGCTACCCGTCC